GCAGGATCAGGTTTCCGGGAGGGAAAGGGAGGGACCGCTGGGAAGGGAGCCCGCCCTGGCTGATGTCATGCTAGCGGGAGCTCAGTTCAAGCATTCAGCCAGGTGGCATGGCCACGTTTCTGCCTAGGAGTAACCTGGGGTCAGGGGCTGCAGGAACTCGTGGAACCAGGGGCAGCCCGACTGCGGGGAGTGGATGAGGCTGCTGTCTGCACCATGGTCGACGATGTCCCTTCGCAAGGCGTTCGGAGGTACTGGGCTGGGGCAAGGTGGGGAGAGTAGGGCAAGAGCAGGAGGCTCCTCCTTGCAGTCCCCCAGATGACACAGTGGTCCTAGCCAAGCAGGTGACAGGCATGTCTGTAGAAGAAGGGTACCTGGGGTCGCCCCAAGCCTGTCCTTTTGTCCTCATCTGAATGGCCATACTTAAAGTGAGATGTATACTTTTAGGACTGGCCCTGGCTGACTGTGATTCAAATTCTCACCCAAGTAGCTTGTAAAACACAGGCTTGTGTGTGTATGTGTCCCCCAAATCCTGATAGGATGGAGAAACAGAGGAAAAGGGATTGCAGTGGAAAGATGCCCCACAAGGGGAGCCTTTTCTTCTCTTTGTCTCTACCTCTCTCTGATGAGTGCATGCACTCTCTGGCAATGAAAAGAAAATGTATGTTGGCACCAGCAGGTGGCATGCTGGTTAGGGCACTGGACTCCCACATGGCCAACACAGTTCAAGTCCCAGACTCTGTAGCTTGAAAATCATGCTGGGTACATGTGCGTGTGCATCCAAAATCCCAAGAGGAGAATGGAGGGGAAGAGAGTATAGTGTGGCCATTCCCCCAAGGGGATGATTTCTCACTTTCTCTTTCTGTCTCTCTGGAGAGTATGCACACCCTATAGCAGAAATCTGTCTTAAAATATATATGTGTATGTGTATTTTGGGATCAGCAGTTGTCAGCATAATGGCTATGTTGCTGAACTCCCATGTAGTCAACCACAGTTCAAGTCTCAGACCCAGTGGCTTAAACTCACGCCAGGCACGTGTGCGTGCGTGCCCAAGATCCCAAGGAGAATGGAGGAGAAGGGATTGTGGCGTGGCCATCCCCCCTGGGGGGTGATTTCTTGCTTTCTGTCTCTCTGTCTCTCTCTGTCTTTCTGGTGAGCGCATGTGCCCTGTAGTAAAAACCTCTAAAAAAAAAACAAAATAAAACAACAACCAACAACAATCTCCACTGTGGTCAAGACTGTCTTATTTCTTTGCACTATGAAATCTTCATAAAGCACTATATCATTTATTACTGGGGTCCTTTCAAATGAGTATTAGCCAGGGCCTAGTCCTGGAACCTTCAGTCAAACTCAAGCAGCTTGGGATACCTTCCTTTTCTGTCTTGTGCCTCATCACTGTGCGATCTAGAAAAACGAGGAAAATCAGCTCCAAGAATTTCCTTTAGGGGAGGGGAGATGAAGATAAGTGGCAAGAAAAGGATACCCCAAATGTCAGAGAACGTACAGAGCCAGGTCTCCCCAGAATGAACGTACTCAGACCCCAGGTTTGACACTGCGAGGATTTAAACCGTCATTGCTCATGTGAGATCTAGGTCCCTGAACCACTAGGCTACAGGCTTGGCCCTAGAAATATGTGTTTTAGGGCCAGCAGGCAGTGTGGTGGTTAAGGTGCTGGACTCCCACATGGACGATCACAGTTTGAGACTCGGACCTGGTGGCTTGAAAGTCATGCCAGGCATGTGTGTGTGTACTCAGAATCCCAGGAGGAGAACAGAGGAGAAAGGATTGCGTCCTAGCCGTCCCCCAACAAGGGGATGATTTCTCACTTTTCCTCTCACAGTCTCTCTCAGTCTCTCTGGTGAGGGCACATACCCCATGGCAAAATAGTATGTATTTTACTCTTCAAGTATGGCCATTTAGATGAGGACAACGTGGCAGACCTGTGGTGACCCCAGATAATCCACTCAACATTAGAATATAAAATAAAATACACACTCAACATTAGACAAAGCAAGACAAAAAGCCAAGCTACCTCCTGGTCTGTAAGTTGAGGTCTTGAAGAAGCCCAAGCGTGGGCAAAGCACTCGGAATTCCTAAAAGGATCCCCAAGCCCAGCAAAGATTCTCAGGCACCTGCTTATCTTCATTTAGTCTTTGCTGCTTGGAAACCAGCAGCAGATTTCTGGAGGAACGTCTGCTCTTGTCTACGAGCATTACGAAACCTGCCTACGACACTGCACCTTTAATGACGAGGTCCCATCAGAGGGCTGTGAGCTGGGGCTGGCCTTCAGCAGTACCCACCTGGAGTGACTGTGGCAGTCACTCCATCGTTGCAGAGCAGACAATGTGTACCTCACCCCTGCACCCTAACCACTGGCTCCATATGGTGCATTTTGGACTCTGTGGGTCTTTACCCATCAAGCCCTCCCCTGCCACTTGTTCTTTGTCTAGGCCAGGGGGTCTGGGGTCCGTTTACTCCATGAACTGAGCCATTTGGAAACAGAGAGCCAGGAAGAAGCACAGGAACAGAAGTCATTCCGAAAGGAGTTGCACCAAAGCGAGTGGGGTGTGTGTGTGTGTGTGTGTGTGTGTGTGTGTGAAGAAACAGAAAATAAAAAATGTAACAGTGGTTGTGGGCCAGCTGGTGGCATGGATATTAAGATAGCTGGATCTCACGTGACCCACTGCACAGTTTGAGTCCTGGACTCGGTGGCTTGAAAAACACACTTGATGCAAGTGTGTGCATGCCCAGAAGGGACTGAGAAGGGATTATGGTGTCTCCATCTCTCTCTCTCTCTCTCTCTCTCTCTCTCTCTCAGGTGAGGCCACGCAAACTAAAATAAATAAATAAATGAAGAGGTTGGCAGATCTGGATCTGGAGATGAAGCAGCGGAATAAAAAATTAAAAGACTGAAGAAAAAAGAAAGATGCGACAAAAAGGAAGAGACCAGTAGGAAACTGAGAGGAAGAGGAAGACAAGACTAAAGGCAAGGAGGAAGGGGAGAGAAAACAGAGGAAAATGAAGGAGAAAAGGAAGAGAAGAAAGAGGAGGAGGAAGAAGGAAGGAGCAGCAGCAGAAGGTGGCTGACCCTGAACCTGGCGGTGGTCTGAGTGTGGCCTGCCCCTGCCACTGTACTATCCTAGAAAATGGGCTCCCCACACTGTGGATAGGGGTGCCAACCAGGGGCTTGTGTTAGGATGGGGGTCCCCAACGTCCGGGCCACAGGTCAGTACTGGTCCTTATTATTCCCACGTAATAATAATAAAGATACAGTGCACAATAAATGTGATGTGCTTGAATCATCCCCAAATCATCCCTCCTACCCAGTCCACGGAAAATAATCTTCCACAAAACCTGGTGCCAAGATTGGGGACAGCTGTCTTAAGGGTCAGCCAGCAGCAGTGAGAAAGCCTGGAGACCCTGTCCCAGGGGCCCACGTTTTTTGAGCTCCCGGAATCCTCTGGGACGTCCAATTGGGTTAGGGAGGAAGGAGCACGTCCTCTGTACAGTGCGTGCATTAGAGAATTAGCTCCTTAGGTAACAGGATTAGAGGGAGCCGGGCGGGCCGCGGCCTGAATGGAGATGGATTGCCTGAGCGCCCCTCTGATGGAGCAGCAATCAAGTTTCCCCTGAAGAAATTTCCTATTAATGGATTTGATGGTACCACAGACGGGCAGTGGGGGCGTGGGGGGAGCTGGAGCCGTGGGCCAGTGGCGGGGTGTAAATTGCCTCAGATGACACGGTAGAGTCACTTTTGCCCCTTTTAAACAAGATAAGAATTAGTGCAAGGCCTTGATGAACTCGCCTTGGCCGGTGGGGATGAGGGAAAAGCAGAGGCCTGGCTAATTTGATTCCTGCGCTCTGCTGCAGACGGCCGGGCTCCTCCCAGGGAGTGGAGGCAGACACAGATGGCAGCGAGCCAGGCTGGTAATGAAAAGCTCCCAGCCTCCGGGGCCCCAGGCCTGGGCCTTCCCTGAGTGGTTGGCGGCAACCAGTACCCCGTGCTCACACGTGCCTGCTTCCCACCGGTGCCGCCCTACCCCTTACCACTTCTTTCGCTCCCGTTTTCCAGTTAAAACACAGAACCTGGGAGCAGCAGATGGAATAATGGTTACATCGCTGGACCCCCACGTAGTCGACCGCGGTTTGAGTCCAGGACCCAGTGGCTTTAATCTCAAGCCAGCTACATGTGCATGTGTGCCCAGAATCCCGAGAGGAGAATGGAGGGGAAGGAATTGTGGCATGGCCATCCCCCCCCCAAGGGGTGATTTCTCACTTTCTGGATCTCTGTCTCTCTCTCTAGTGAGGGTACGCTCCCTATAACAAAAAAATCTCTCTCTAAAACAACAAAAATCCACAAACAAAAAACGCAGGGCCAGCAGGTGGTGTGGTGGTTAGAGCGCTGGACTCCCACATGGCCAACCATAGTTCAAGTCCTAGACCTGGAGGCTTGCTTTCTCACTTCCTCTCTCTCTCCCATCAAATAATAATAAATACAATTAAATAAGTAATTAAAAAGCACACGCACACACACACACAGAACACAGAGGGCCTTCATGCTTGCCTTGATTTCCACAGCTGCTTATGAATGGAGCTGAGCTGCCTCCAGACTCCTGGCTCCTGCCTTTTCCATTACAGCTGTGTTTCCCATCTTCTGCAGTAAATTTTTACTAGTGTGTAAAACTTTTACCACCAAAGAACCTGACCTTTTAAAACCTATAAACTTATAAAAACTCTGTGACCCATAGTAACATCTGTCCCCACTAGAAGCCCACCTGCTGGGGAGGGGATGGGGAGACATATGGCTTGTCATCACAGTGCCCAGTGAAGATATATCTT